ACGTTTGTATACCACGTGGGGATGTACTGATTAAAGTACTTTATCGTGAATCCGAGTTAGCTTCTTCATTATTAGTTTTCACTTTTCTCATAACTTGAGATTAGATTATCTTACAGCGCGAGGATATAAACCATGAAACTACGATTTTTCTTAGTTCGCAAGCATGTTCCGATTCCCATATCCCAACAGATCTTGTGACTGTTTTTTTATGAGAAGTTCATTGTGTAAAGTGAAAACAATGTGTTTTACAGATTTTTGGCAATACTTACAGCTCTGAACGATCCGCATAGGGACTTACATAAGAGTAGTTTAAAGGATAGATTTTATTTTGTAATTTTTTTTGATAAAATTCCTTAGTGCGTCTTTGAAAGTGAAAGCACTGATATAATTATTATGTGACGAATTTTTTAACAAAATACGTGATGATGACACTTTCCAACATGTTCATTTGGTATCAATTTAAAGTATCTTTTATATTTTTATTTCAAGCTGATCACTATATTTTGACAAGTCACTTTCTCTTTTTCCTGAGCGTACATTATATAGAAAATTAAAAATTTTGCTCCGGTGTAATCTATTTTAATATGCACCAGAGAATTTACAAAATTTCATACATGAATCTTCAGCAGTTTAGCTCAAAAATTTAAAATGAAGACACATGGATTTATTTAAACTTCATGATTTTAATTAGAAAAACAAGGAATTACAGTGATCAAACTCTGGTACCATATTAGTTAAAGACCAACTCAAATTAAAAGTTCAAGTTATATTATACATGCAATTTCATTTTTTATCGCAATTTTAATTTTATTTTTTACATTTTAAAGCATAACTATTTTCTCCACACAAGGATTGTTGGCCACATTATTTGTGTAGAAAATTCGGCTTAATGACCAGTCAATTAAACTAAAAGTTAGATACATGAAAATAAAGTAATTTTATCGAGAAAAACAAAGGGTAAACTTTTTATAAGAATGAGACGTGAAAAACATGGAGCACAAAATTATAGCAGCATAATTCAATTGATGACCTAAGGCACATAAGGCACTTTCATCCACAACTTTTTGGTGAGATGGCTTTGTAAAGATCAATTAATAATTGACAAGTGTGAAGTATGTATATTCATGTGTATATTCATATATCGGAAGCAGAAGTTACATGGATGATAAGGAAGAACATGAAATTAATGTGGGAAGGGACCCAGAAATGCAATTGGTGAAATGAGGATCACTAAGTGATCAATGAGCAGAACAAGCAAGGCATGATTTCCGGCACCATCCAAATCATGAAATAGTTGGCCCAGATTATTAGGTCACCACCTTATGGCTTTGCTTGCTTCCGACCCACTCATGTTAAAAACTTGTGTTCCTGAATGCATGGTTTTTGCGTTATGATTTTCTTATGCTTGAATATCATGCACAAGGGCAAATAATGTGAATAGCTAGTTAGATTTTGTGCATTCAGCTTCTGCTGCTTTGTGGTATATGGAACCCGCTTTTTCTTCCATCAAGCTGATGTGTGCATATGTCTAACCTCAATATCCAAACATAGTGGGTTCAAGACGAGCTAGCCTGATTATCGTTGCATGCAATTGAATTTTTGAAATTGACCTTTGATAGTTTTGTTCTGGTCCGTTGTATCTATCGATGCATGGGCTTGGTGGGAATTGGCTTGTAAATTTGTACGAAGTGATACAATGGTATGATCTGCATGTACGTTACAGCGACCAGATCAGCATATATCTGAATCAAATGGTATGTATATATGTATGGAAAAGAAAAAGTCCAAGGCTTCAATAAGGCAAGGCTGGAAAGCGATGGAGTAGTGCTAATTATGTTGCATTTTAACACACAAGGAATAAAAGGTGCAGAATCATATTGAGTGGATCAGACAGAGATCCTATGTGTATAATAATTAGATTACAAAGATCGTTCGGCGCATTTTTCTTAAAGCTCAAAGTGTATAAATGCTTCTTCAACTTTTTGCCACATCTTTTAATTTGATGAGCTGAGTTAGCTGAGTTAGTATAACAGTAGTAGATGAGATTGCACTGCCTTCTCTTTCTGATTATTATTACATACCTCAGATGTTTAGAGACATTGAATGGCACCTTGAAGCCTTTTTGAAAAGTGGTGTTACAGGCAATACATATATGCACATTAACTAGCATATAAACCAGCCATACCCTGACCAATAGGCATTTCCAGGACCTGCAAACTTATGAAATATCCTTATGGGAGATATCCTGGGCACAACTACATCAAATTTGCACAATCTGCTTACTAGTTACTTTATTGTCTCTTCATTTCAGAGATGTAATCTAATGCAACCTAAAAAATTATTTATCCTTTAATTTTCATTTATATCTTATAAAGGAGAACAGTTTGCCACCTCCGACTTACTCTTTACAATTGGATTTTTTTTTTTTATTTTGGGGGTGTGGGGAAGGGAAAATTTCATTACTGGATGAAATTACAGAGCGGCAATGCAAACCCAAAAAAACATTAGCATCCCCAGATATTTACATATATTCTTTTCAATTGGACTTTCAATGGCCTAAAATTTTTTTATCATACTGGACCAGTAATAAATGATGTTTTTAATGGTCTGTTTGGTAGGCCTGCAACTTATGGAGCTCTAAATTAGACACTGTACATGTCAGGCTCGTAAAGGCCCTCAAAGCATACCAGATGCATAGGAGAGAGACCACATCTCTATTAATGGCCAGCCCAATAGGAAATTACACAAGAGTGCCCTCGCAGAATCTCATCTGTGCTTACTGCTTAGCCTATAAGACGACAAGTCAATTCCATTACTGCATTTTTAGGCCATTTGACTTGCAGCTTCTTCTTCTTTCTTGTTTCATTGATTACATAATAAAGCAGTGTTATCCACTCCTGCATACTTAAATTAACAAAAGTTTACACTAAACTCACTATCTAAAACTTTTAACACTAACCCTAGCCACCTCGTGACAGGTTGAAACTAACGCTAGCCACCACTCTTGACGGGTTGAAATTATTCATTATTAGATATATATATATATATATATATAATGAGAATCTCAAGATTAATCAACAGGCTTATCCATCAGTGATTCGGATTTTTTAGTAGATAGATAATCTGCAGTCTGCACGATGCACATACTCTGTAATTACTGTGTCTCTTTTCTTGGTCAACAAATAATACCTGTCTTTAGCTTGGTTTGATAATTGATGATATTGTGTTGCGCGTTTGGTTTTCAGTTTGCTTCTTGTAATACCCATCCTCTAATATTGAAAGCTTGACAGGTAAAACAGAATAATGCTAGCTTTTTATGTTGGCTAAATGATGCTAGGTAAAGCTCACAAAAATTCGATAGGGAGACTCTGTTGAAGCAACAGCATGATCATTATAAATGAGAAGTTCCACAAATTTCCATCATGTCGTTCTCGTTACCTAAAATGGTTAGCTTAGCCTCTATCTCACGTTTTGGTTCCTTAAAGATGGTTCTCTTGCAATTCACAAAATTTTATCAGAAAGGAAGTACAACTTTTTGCTTGACATTAATTACTGTCACTAAAGTGAAGCAAATTAAAACCTCGCTTACCGGCTGAGAGAACATTCAGCAATGGCATCCCCCACGACCCACTTCATTGTGGTGCACATCTTCACCATTCTGGTTGCCACAAGCAATGCCTGGAGACCCAAGTTCTCATCCATTCTTGTGTTTGGGGATTCAACAGTCGACCCAGGCAATAACAACTTCCTGGAGACATTGTTTAAGGGAAACCATTCCCCGTATGGCAGAGACTTCCCTGGTCACAGACCCACTGGTAGATTCTCCAATGGAAAACTTGTTACTGACTTCATTGCCTCTCTTCTACAAATCAAGGAGTTCGTCCCTCCTTATCTAGACCCAAATCTATCAGATCTTGAGCTTCTAACCGGAGTCAGCTTTGCCTCTGGCGGATCAGGAATCGATGACTTGACCACGATTTCTTCTGGAGTGGTCCCTGTTTCCAAGCAAATTGAGTACTTCAGAGAATATGTAGAAAGAATTAAGCGCATTGTGGGGAAAGAAGAAAGTCAGAAGGTACTTGGACGCGCTCTTGTTATCATCAGTGCTGGAACTAATGACTTCAGTTTCAATTTTTATGATGTTCCCACAAGAAAATACGAGTTTGATATAAGTGAATACCAAGATTTTCTGCAGAATAGGTTTCAAATCTTCATAAAGGTATTTTCTTCACAAACTTTGAGCAATACCCAGTTCTTTTATGAGTAAACAGAAGAACAAGGTTTGACACTAAAAACTAAATATAACAGATCTTCTTGTGTAAAATTTCAGGAACTTTACAGCCTCGGATGCAGGAAGGTAGCTGTCGTTGGGCTTCCTCCAATCGGTTGCATACCCCTTCAGATAACAACAAAGTTAAAGAATCTAAAGGATCGAAAATGTGTAGAGCAAGAGAACATAGACTCAGAACTCTACAATAAAAAATTGGAAAGGCTATTGCTTCATGCGCAAGCCATGCTTCCAGGAAGCAGAGTTGTTTACGTAGACGTGTATAACCCCTTGATCAACCTCATCAATCAACCTGAAAAATACGGTAAGATGCATCATAATTACACATGCTTAAATCATGTATAAATATATTTGCGAATTAGGCCTCACGGACATTTGATCAAACAGGTTTTGAGGTAACGAAGAGAGGGTGTTGTGGAAGTGGCATTTTTGAAGCAGGACCGTTGTGCAACGAGCTCACGCCGGCATGTGAGGAGGCTTCAAAGTATGTATTTTGGGATAGTGTGCATCCAAGTGAAGCAGCGTACAAGTATATTGCAAAATACGTGGAGGAGGAGGTGCTGCCCAAGTTTGTGAATAATAATAGTGATAGCAGCGAATTGTATTTGTGAATCAGGTCCATGCCCTGGCCGCGGTAAGACGAGTCACATACATAAGCTTGTGTTATTTGTGGGTGCCCGATTAAACAACTAGTTTAATTAATTTATTAATTAACTAATAATGGAGATAAATAAATGAATATCATTCCACCATTTTTACAATGCTGCTCCTGCTATGTTATGTTTACGTTTTATTCACAAATGAATTCAAATTACTTAATAATTTAAAGCATTATATGTGAGTAAGTGTAAATTGAAAAAAACATCTTTAGAAAAATTATTTCTACTCAAGCTTAACAATATTCAAATATGACACAATCAGTGCCGTGTAAATAAAAAAGTATCAGACGTGACACTATAAATCAGATACTAAGAATGTGTCTACTGTCTACTCTTCATCGGCAGAATGGCATGTTTTCATGTAGTGTATCTAAGTTTATTGTTCGTATTGTGCCTAAACATGTGCAGAAAGCTATTGCAAACGAAATTATGAAAAGTTTTCACCTTTCACTAGTCTGGAATGGCGGAGACTCTTTTTTTTTTTTTTTTTCTTTTCCACCTCCTCATGTTAGCACGAGAACTCACATCCATTTGATTTTATGTCAGATAACAGAACCATGGAGCATGAATACAAAATATAAAACTTACAGTAAATAGCATTTATATAAATTATAAACCGTTTAACTTATCCCTCAAATTTGATACAATTATTAGCCTACTTTTTTAATTTTGGAAATTGAATGTCGTGTTGAGTAGCGGGACTAATACATATGGGATTGGATTATACTGATTCAGTTAAGGTTTAGAGAATAACAGAATTTGACAGGTCTTTCGTTCTTTTCTCTTGTCCTCGTGTCTTGGCGCAGCAAGATTTTTTCGGATTTGGACAAATCTGGGCCGATTGAATGATCCTTCGTCATTCGATGCTCATTCATTCATATTCGGATTTTCAGAGGAAGCAAATTCAGAGAATCTTCTTCTTTTCGTCTTGTCTTTCTTTTCTTTTTTTACCTGGTTCTTTTCGTCGCGCGCCCATGTATATGTATCACACAGAAAAGCGGGGTAGAATGGAATGCAGGGACAGATGGGCAGCGTTAGGTGTCTTTACTTTTAATAAAGCTCTATATTCTACATGAACGAACTTCTCGAGCTACTCAATTTGACTAGCTTTTGTCTCTTTTTCTACTAACTTAGAAAAGCAGAGATGAGAAACCAAATCTTGTTTGCCGCCAATCAAAAACGAGTTTTAGAAAACTACTTTGAAAAAATTGTTTAACTCAAATATCACTCTATTTCTATTTATAAAAAAAAATTATCACTTTTTATATATTTTTTATATTAATAAAATTATATATTTTAATAAATATTTATTATATATTTTTTAAATCATCCCTCATAATTTATATTAATAAGTTGATTAATATAAAATATTTTAATTTAATTTTTTTATTTTTAAATATAATTATTATAATTAATTAATTTTCTTAATCTGTATGATATATTTTCTTTTTTCTTATATATAAAAACGGACGGAGTAATAGTGAATGCTCACTGCGTGAACCTTCTCTAAACAATTTTCCAGTCTGGAACATTTGAAAGAGAACGCCAATTTGTAATTTAATTTTACAGCAAAATCGACAAGTTCAGATAACTTTCCAAGCCATCATACTTGATTTGATAGGGGAAATGAAGAAAGGAAAGAATTATGCTCAGCAGGAAAGATACAAGTGTACAGATAACAAGAACACAATCCTTGAAGATTAGATTCTGATGAAATCAAAACTTCTAGCACTCTAACTTACACTACCAAATGCATACACACAACATGTAGTAACTTTAGCTTTTACCTTCTCCCCATTGATCCACTACTTCCCTGAAACAAATCGTTCAGTTTTGCTTCAAGTTCCTCCTCCCCATACCTAATATACTTATCAGCTTGCTTCCCCACTTCTGGAAGACTCCGAAACCTTGAAATGAAGTTTACATATGCTGGCATCAATATTTTTTCCAGGGAAATTCTAATCTCTTCCCTTAATTGCTCATCAAACACAAACCATGTAGATTGATTCCTACATATTTCCTCAAACTGCGTGTTGAACAATTTGAGCTTCTCTTTCATAGTCTTTGAAGCAGCATTAGGTCCCCCCAATGAACCATTGTCTACCTTCAACAAGCTCAGAATCTTGTTCCACGAGTTTCTCTGATAGTTTACATGGTATTGTCGGACTTTTGCAGCGTGTTTCCGGATCCAATCATCGCCCAATAGGGTTCCCAGCTCACTATCCTTTGCCTTCTGAACAATGTACCTTCCGTTGTTCATCATGAAAACAGAACACAATGCAGAGTCCTTAAAGATTTTGGACTTGGCTTCGAGATTGCTCTCTAGCAATTCCATAATCCAAGCCATTTGCACAGATAGTGAAGAGGACGAATCGTCAAGCTTGGGGTAATCCTTCAATGGAAGCCCACTGTCTTCGAATACTTGCACCAGTGTCTGCCGGGACCGGCACGCTGCGCGGAGGTAATTCATCACGTAGCGGGTAATTGGATGAAGCCCACCGCCGGGAACAGCCGCTTTTGCCGGGTCACGACGAATTAAATTCTCCAGTTCCATAAAAATTCCTCTGATTGCTTCGCCTAGCCTCTTCCAGATTGTGAGTGCCTCGTTTCTGAGAGATAAACAGTACTGATCGGAGAATAAAGATTCAAATTCTGGAATTAGGTCCCTCAACGTCTCGAAAACGTCTAAAATTCTGAACAATCGCTCCGGAGATCGGCTCCCAATCGCCACGGCATCAGCGAAATTCAGAAGTTGAATAGTTGATCCTCGGCAGACCTCCATAAAAGAGTGATCTGAAGCTGCAGAAAAACCGAAAAAGACGCGATCGCAGAGTCGCCGCTCGCTGGGGAACAGTATCCTGAGAGCCACATTGGAGGCTTTAATCCATCTTTCAATCTCGTCTTCGAGGTCCTGCCACTGCATCTTGTGGACGTCTTCGATGCTTAGCTTCTGTAACCCCAACCTCGAAAAGCTCTCCTCCAAGAATTCTCTGCGGCAGCTGCTATAAACGTGCGAGCACTCCTTCCCAAACCCAGCAACTACCATGCGCTTCGCAATTTCGTGAAGGTCATTGATCGTCGCCGATGGCAGCGCATCAACGACGATGTCATAATCGGCCACAGGTTGCGCAACCGGAATCTGGTCATCCTCACCGTTCCCTACAACGCCTTCAACTTCATGGTCCTCGTCCTCCTCCGAGTCAAACGAAAAGTTCCCAGTCGACTCGCCATTCCCGTACGCTCGAGTCAGGTCAAACGACTCGCCACCATGTTCCATCAGAGTCCTGAACTCGTCCTCGACGCGGAACATAGCCTGCTGGAGTATATCCTCGGCGCGTACCAAGCACGCGCTAACGGTCTTATCCGCCGCCACCGGGCTCCACTCGGCCAAGGTAGCGATTAACTCGTCAATGGCGTCAAGGAAGGCGGCGGAGTCAGCAGAATCAGCCCAGATCGGGTGGTCGGAAGACACGTACTGGGAGATCCGACGGTCAAGAGACTTGAGGGTGTGATCGAGTGCGGCGCAGCCCCTGGGATCATCATGAGCAACTTTGTCGGAAAGATTCTCTCTGGAAAACCTGCCATCGAAGGTGGAGAAGATTTGGAGAATATCATCGGCCATGTTGTTATTATGGCCAAGAGTCTTGGCTATGTGGCGCGCCACAGCCAATAACTTCTCCTCGCCGTTCTCAGCCATTAAGAAAAAGAGGGGAAGCTCAGAGGCCGGGGGTCAAATAGCTCATGGCAGAGCACATGGGAGGAGAGGAGGAGGGTCGTGTATTGACGATAAAAGAGAAGGGATAGCGGAAAACAGACTCAGCAAAAACGCGGTTTCTGTTGAGAAAATTTAAGGGCAGGGAGTAAAGTCAGAGATAGAGATAGACAGGCAGATAGAGAGAGATGAGGGTGGAGAATGAGAGAATAAAAAGAAAAAAAAAAAGAAAAAATGGAAGAAAAAGAGAGACAGGGGTGAGGACAGGAGCCAAGAAAATTCCAAAATCACAGTCAACTCGGCCATAGAAAATGCTCCCAGTAAAGTAAGAATTGCAATAAAAATAGAAAAATACGAGGGTATTTAATATTAATAAGGTTTAAAATTTTTTGAATAAAAGACTGATTTAAAAATAATTTTAAACAAAAAATATTATAATACCCTTACACGTTCTTTTTTAATTGATGAATGATGCTTTGTGAATTAATAAAAAAATTATTTTTTAATTGACAAATTTAAGAATATGAAGAAACTTAATTATGAATAAAGAATTATAGATCATATTTTAATAAATAAATATTTATTAATTAACAAGTTCTTGTTTATATTTAATAAGAAATCATTTGCTGATTGATAAGTTTAAGAATTTGAAAGAACTTGATTATAAGAAAAAATAAGTATAGATCATGTTTTAATAAATAGTCATTTATCAATTAACAAATACTCATTCGTATTTAATAAGAAGTCATTCATTAGTTAACAAATTCAGAAATTTGAAAGAATTTACTTGTGCGAAGAGATAAGTGTAAATTATGTTTCAATAAAAAGTCATTAATTAATTAACGAATATTCAATTATATTTAACAAGAAATTATTTTCCTATTAGCAATTTTAAAAGAAAAACAGCAGGGATAGTATTTTTTTTTCCTATCTAAAATTATATTTCCCCATAAAAATATAGTATTGGGTTCATTAAAATATACATAATACCAGGAGACTAGGTTAAAACACGCACACACGCATATCAACTGTAAGGCACTGCTTGCTAAAGTAGTTTTACAGGTAAAACAAAAGAACTAATTCAACAAAGAAATAAATTTAAAATATTAAAAAAAATAATTTTTTAATCTTTTAATTTTTAACTTATTTGTAACTCAATCTCTCAACTATGACTCACTGCAATTTAGTCCCTCAATTATAACTTACTGCAATTCAGTCTCTTGACTTTTGATTTGCCTATAACTCGATCCTTATTTTTTAATTTTTTTTTAAAATTTTTTTATCAAATAAGAGAGATAAAAAAATGTTTATATATTATTTTAAAATACCCTCTTCTTATTCATTAATGTGAAATATAAGTTAATATGAAAAAAAATAATAAAGGTTTAGGGATTAATTTGTAAGTGATTTAAAAGTTGAGGGACTGAGTCATGAGCGAGTTATAATTAAAAGATTGAATCACCATGAATTATAATTAAGAAATTGAGTTAAAAGTGATTTAAAAATTAATAGATTAACAGATTAATTTTTTTTAAAATATTTCATATATAAAGGGCCCAGCCATTTGAAGTAATTGAAATATTGTAGATGAGCCAGACATGAGGGTAAGAGGCGAGCTAGGGTGCAGTTAAATTTATTGGAAATTGAAAGAGGAAAGTACAATGATTGCAGGGGCAGTTGATGGCAAATTGGACACAAG